CTATTGTGTAGCTAAATTAAAGGAGGGGCTTATCTTCCCACATAGTGAAAGGAGGTACAAGGGGAGGGAGATGTCTCTGACAGGCAACAGAGGAGGCAAAGAGGAAGTTCAGCTTAACACAACTCGGTAGCCAGTGTTGTTTCAAACTTTGGGTTTCTGACTCCAAATGGTTTATTTTAGGCATTTTCAAGCACCGCACGATTTTGTGGAAACTATTCTGGTCATAATTAACTCGATGCTGTATGCACAGCAAATCACACATAAATTATCTCCTTGAGAAACAAAGTAAGCTAAATTCAGATCAGACGTGTCTACATTGAAACTCTTTGTAAAGTCCATAAAGATGGGTTCTGTAGATTGACTGAGAAGAACAAATTTACGATAAGGCTCTAAGGGAGGATCCAGTACTGGAAAAGTGTCCAGTCACTAGGCTAGAAAGCATGTTCCCTATGGCCTTCTGGATGAAAAACAGGTTTTGCATCCCTTCCCTTGAAGGAACAACCCATTGTGATCAACATCTCAGGTTCCCTAGTGCTTGTCAGTGAGCACAAAGATCTCTGCACCCCCTACAAGGCTTCTGATGACTGAGTGACTCAGTGATGTCCAGGCCAACACCTCACTTGGAGCTGTTCCTCTCTGCTGTATTGTCCCATGGTGACAAGATAGCTAGACTGCCCCTCCCTGTTCAAAGCACAGAGACAAGAAGGGCCTGGCCCCATACTCTCTTATAAACAAATCAAAGACTGTCCCAGAAAATACTTTAGTCAACCCCTGAGAAGTCACTGGCTGGAATCTGGACCAGCTGCCAAGGAGCTGGGAAAAATGAGCCCCATGATTGGGGGTATCTGAAGGACCAATCAGGCTCCATCAACAGAGACTGCAGATCTGGGTAGTCCCCCAAATCTGAGTGGCTGTCATAGAAGGGGGTAAGGGCTAGATGAAAGCCACCAAGTTCTACTACATATCCTATCTGTGTTTCAAGTTCCTTATACATGTCAATCGAGGCAGACATTAATGTATGGAGAAGATTTGTGTCAACATGTCTATGTTACATAGTCTCAACACAGGCTCACATTAGAAAATCCTAGGCAAAGTTGGAGACATACTAGTGCCTAGAGTCAATGCATGAAGATTTTAATGTACTTGCTCCAGATTAGCCTCTGGAATTAATTTTTTTTTGAGACAGAGTTTCACTGTATAACAACCTTGACTGTCCTAGAACTTGCTCTGTAGACCAGGCTGGCCTTGAACTCACAGAGATCCACCTGTTTCTACCTCCTGAGTGCTGGAATTAACTGCATGCACCACCACTGGGAGACTAACATGTAGACTGTTTTGAGAACCACTGCTATAGACACAGCGCCTTAGGAACAGGGTCTGTTCTGTACCCTCTCCGACCCACACATGAGCAGCAGGCTGACAAGAAGTCCTCACTACATGAGGGAACCAAAAATGGGGGAGGTTGCAGAGATGGCTCAGTGGTTAAGAGCACCTGTTGCTCTTAAAGAGATCCTGAATTCAGTTCCCAGCACCCATGTTCTCTTCTGGCCTCCTCCAGCACCTGCACTCATGTGCATATATTTCTCAACATACACACACACACACAC